TGGAATAAAAATGTCCAGGTCAATTTTGGTATAATGCAGGTTTATTATCAATCATCAAAGTACACTTAATACAATACTGACATGCAAGTTTCTTTAAGTAATGAAAGTTGAGTAAATGTCAAATATATTCAGGATTGTCAAGTAGACATAACAAAGGTCGAATACCTTATAGCCTAGAAAAGTTAATCTCATAATGGACAAAGAGGATGATAGTGTTAGTGTGTTAGTGTTAGTGTTAGTGTTAGTGTTAGTGTGTGTGTGTGTGTGTGTGTGTGTGTGTGTGTGTGTGTGTGTGTGTGTGTGTGTGTGTGTGTGTGTGTGTGTGTGTGTGTGTGTGTGTGTGTGTGTGTGTGTGTGTGTGTGTAGAGATATATTACATGTTTTGTCACTAACTGTAAGTCATACACATGATAACATAGATACTACCGTTGCCTATGACAACACTTAGTTTCATTGTACAGCTGAAGAACCGTTGAACTGCAAAAACCTTCTGTAGATAAGGAGTTTTGACAAGAAGATATATCTGGACTCATCTGTTATACATGTATACAATGAAACTAAGTTGCATTCAACTGTGCCACCCTGTGCCCCTTTGTATGTCTTGTAGACATAAAATAGTGTCGCTTAGTCTCTAAATATAAATAATTTTGATTGTAACAAATAAACCCATATAAATTGAAAAGAAGCCCCAGGGCCTAGATTTTCAAAGCTCTCTTAGTGCTAAAATAGTAGTAAGTGCCATACATTAACATTAACTTACGAGTATCTTAGCGCTATTAAAGAGAGCTTTGAAAATCTAGGCCCAGGGAGACAAGAAATTCCTGAGGAAATCTAGACTTGCTTCATTTAAGGCTTTAGCACTGCAGAGAGGGCTAGGCAGTAGGGAAAATAATGTGGTTCAGGGACTGTGTGACAGACTATATGTCTTGAAGCTGTTAACATACCCCAGCCTGACCCCTCGTAACTGTAAACGGTTGGTCCCTAGTATCAGTATCATGGGCTAAGACAACTCACTGACACACATATAGAAGACACATAGGAGAACTCTAGTTCAGGACAATAACTACATCCTCACAATCACAAATGACAAAGTACTTTGGCAACAACAGACAATCTCAACAAGTAACAGTATTAACAATATCTGACAAAACATTTCTATTATGAGTAGTTTTAACAGGTGCAAGCTAAACATATCTTCAAAGTTTCATTCTTTTTGTGGCTTGATTTGAAAGAAGAAATATGCATAGAATACAACCTGAGCAATTTAGTTGCGGCAGTTTACTATGCTCATAAGTCTTTCCCAACTTGACTGAAAGGCACTGAAAGTATGTATAAAAAAACAGATGTTTGTTTTTACCAATCTGTACCAATATGCGAATCCAGTTTCAATACAGGAACAAAAAACTCCAGCTTGTCTAAACACATTGCAGTCTCAATGGTCATGTACATACACTAAACTGCTTAAACTGTTCGAATGCCAGCCAAGAACAATCCAGGGTAACAACAAATTACTGGCTTGTCCGCTCAGTTCAAACAAGGTAGATGTCCTTTAAAAGACTAACAGGAAAATAACATGATAAAAAGTATTTTTATATCTATTCTTTGGTTGTTTTTCTTCCTTTCTGATACTTAATGAGTATCCTTGTAAAAGCCAAGGGAGTGTATGAAATACTTCTCCAGAATTAAAACATAAAAATATTAAAGCGTATTGCTTCACAGAGTGATGAGGAAGACACTTGATATTTTCAAAAGACTAATAGGATTCGCCCACAAAATAGAAATCCTCTCAACATGCTCAATACAACTTCACATTTAACCTATAAGGATAAAAAAGCACAAATATCAAGGAACAAACATAGTATACAATGGTAAATCTTCATAAGGCAAACTATCGCAAAATGAAAAATCCAATCATACTCAAACACTGAAGAAACGTAACACTCCAGCCATCATAACTGAACATATAAATGTCAGCGGGATACCTGAAATGCACTTAAAAGCCCAGGTTCAAAACTATACACAAATTGAGTGTGACCATGTTGCCTTATCAAAGTTGTCTTTCGATGCAAAGCAAAGCAATATTCAAGTACTTCCCCCTGCTACCAGAATTGTGGAACCTCAGTATTATTTTTAAAGGCAAAGCAATTAAATAAGGTATTAAACTTCCTATAAATCATATCAATTAATTAATATATAAATATATATAAAATATATAAATATATCAGTACTTGGTTTACAAATTAGCTACTTGGATTTAACACACATTTGATCAGTTACATGACTAAAGGCGAAAATATACAGATCTCATTTTCTTTAAGAAACATCATGTTCTTCAAACTATAGAAGTTACCAGCCATAAATTCTCGCCTTTATGTCAGTGTATGAAATAAGGCCCGTCCGACTGCCAAGACGGGCTAGATTTCAGACGGACAGTCTAAAAGCCAGCCCTATGGTCTGGTAAAAGTTTGAGATGTTCCATACATCTGAGAAAATTCAACATATTTGGTCTGGTTAAATCCATTTTGGGCTGGTAACATTTTGAAGTTACCAGCCCTGATGCCTGGCTGGATTTTTGGCTTATTTCATACACTGTGTATGTGTATCACTGCAAAATGCTATTCAAAGACCAGATACATGAGAGTAAGTAAACATGGAGATGGCAGAAAGCCTAAAGTGGTTTACGTGTTAGATGATACCACCAATGTTATGGTGCTGACGAACGCAGCATGAAGATGTCACTGGAACCCACAGTATACAATATAAACATGGTATATACATGACAGTCAATACAGAATACCTGAAATATACCATACATGTAATGTTAAGTGAGTAGCTGATGCAAACATATGACAATATCACCAATATGTATGGATAAATATATCACACAGTATAAATGTTCACAGTACATTCTAAATACATATGAAATCAATATGTCATCAAATCTTGACATAGAGTCCTACACAGTAAGATACAGTCATATATCTCCAGGTAGGGATCCCTTCATCATTTTTATTGGCTAGCTGGTATGGTGTTAGTATATTTGATTGTCTGATATCACACATCTCATTACTGACCACTTTCACCTGAATTGAGAAACTACCAAGTATTGACTTGATATAAGTATATCACGACAAAACATATCATATATCATACATAACTATATAATCATATGTATAATAATCAAGTATGATTAAATGCCCACTTGAAGGTTGTTAACAACAGGGTCAGTATCAGTCTGGGACACTAAGACAGCCTCAGTATTCTGCCCAACACATTCAAACATTAGGGACCGTTATAATTTATGGCTAGGGGGGTGGTGATGTGATTTTTATGGAGAAGCATGTACAATGTGAATGGACACACCTCCACCACCCCCCTAAAATCTACGTACAAAATAAGTGACCCCCCTTGCATGTCATGTACAAAATCTATGACCCCCCTCCCTTTCCCATAATTTCTAAGCATAATTTTAAACATAATAATTTTATGGACGGTCCCTTAGCAGGAAAAGAAATGAAGGATCCAATTGCTGGTTCAGACTGCCTAACAGTTCATGTATCCTTAAAACTAGGAGCAATTCCTTACATTTAACAGTAAGCAATATCATTACTTGGGTCAGTGATGAAGAAAAAAGTATCCCCTATACTGACATTCCTTTTCAGAAAAGACAGTACAACTCTTCCCTTGATGTATGGTGGTCAGTCTGCCAATACCATGAATTTCACAATGTGGGGCAGGGAAAATGCTGAATAAAAATGTCTTATTCGAAGACCATAATTACCGGAGAAATATATTTTCTTCCAATCAGACAGCTCCATACATTCACATCTGTGTTATGATATGTTGTATAGTCCAGACCCCATTAGCCATGCTTTCCTAACAAACCTACAAAATAATGTAAAAAAAATACACTTCTTTTACACAGATCTGTTTATCCAGATGATTAGTGATCCAGACAAGTTCCACATCAACACTTCTTGATAATGCCATTTCAGTTACCTCTACCCTCTTATACTGACTAGAGAGAAGGTTAAAAAATGTAAAAAATCGGTTATCAAGAAATATTGTTTGGAAACAGAATTATTTTCTATCTGATTTCTGTGCCCCAAAATCAAAAGCCAGTGAAGTTGAATAAAATATTTCATGGACAACATACCTAACACAGATCCTGAGAAGACCACAGTACAAGAGGGAGGTAATGACAAAGGGAGGTAACTGTCTATGTCATCAAACAATCAGCAGAATCAACAATCATTTGTTGGAGTTTACAAATGGTTCTCTCAGAATTAAGTATCAAGGCACATAAATCCAGCAAAAGCCATCAGAAATAAATCATCAACAATTCTAAAACATCATAAGTAACATCATACAACAAAAATAATGTCTATGAGATCCCATCAACATTGCTACAGTCGTGAGGGTTTGAGGTAAACATTACAAGGAGACTTCTAGATTCCTGGGAATGATTAAATGATATTTCCATCCCATGTATGACCATAGATAAGCTGAATTTTGAGGACCAAATAAAGCAGTCTGGAGAAGAGGGTTGGTTTATCTACAGGTTACACTTTCATCAAACTTTTTCTGGTGGTAACTAATACAAACTTTCATAAATAGTTGACATGATGAAATTGCATTAATTTCGGCTACCTTAATTCTGAGTACTACAGGAATAAAAGACATTCCTTCAGAAATGTAGTAGTGTATGTTCCAATCTGCACGGTCACAAGTTATTCCAGTCTGGAATCCTTAGACAATTGTCAACCCATCCTTCAAAGATAGCTGTACCCATTGTGAAAACATCTACAGTCAATAACTCCTCCTTTACTCATCAAGAAATAATACATTCATCGGAAATCAAACACAAACAGATCAATAATTATTCATGCTGTATCCCAACATCAAGCAATTTCTTTAAATTGTTTATTATTAAAACTTTTGATTATGTAGGCATCTTAATATTTGAAAACTGTATAGAAATTTGATTGATCATTCCCCTATCATTGAGTGAGTGAGTATGGTTTTACGCTGCTTTTAGCAATATTCCAGCAATATCACGGCGGCCCTATCATTGAAAGGGAATTTAGTAAATACAACAGTTGACAATACTGGTGCCATACTATCGTACCCATATGAATTTTGAAATCATGCTATAAAACACTGACAGATTAGCTTGTTTAAAAGTTTGGCAGAAAGAAATGTTCAAAGATGTTCTCGGTGGACATGTTTTTTGAAGCAAATCCATCAACCTCAGTAACAGGAAGTTTAACAGCAACATCCAGAACATTACATTTGATTATATTTTGCACCCTATACAGTAAATTACAGTCACAATGAATAAAGATATCACTAATTATAGTTCATAATAACCACAGTTCATCATTATAATTATCCATCTGAAGAAGGGGCAAGAACTAGTCCAGAAACGTCGTGAGAAACAAATAAGTTGTTATCCATAAGATTTGCCTTGCATCACTACACCAACTTCAAAATGCCCTTTTTTAGAATTTTTAACCACAATTCGTTAAACGCATTTCAACTGAAACTGACATCAAGTGTTCAGGACAAACAAAACAGTTCATAATGTCAATCAGTTCATTATAGGTATGCTCATCATAAATATAGTCCACTGTGTATGTGGTGCAAACTTGTGGAGTGGAAACGCGTAATTTTGACATAATGGAATACTAAAACTGCAAAACAGTATAAAATTCCTGAATAAAAGGCTCTGTAAAATACACATCAGTGACTATATCAACAGTTTCATGTGTAAGCATTTGGCACAATCCAATCACATGATCCACATGTAAACATATGGCACACCATATGTAAACCAGTGTATGAAATAAGGCCCGTCCAACAACCCGAGACGGTCTAGATTTCTGACGGACGGTCCAAATTTACAGCTAGCTAGCCAGCCTGATAGTCTGGTAAAATTTGAGATGTTCCATACATCTGAGTAAATTCACCATGTTTGGTCTGGTTAAATCCATTTTGGGCTGGTAACATTTTGAAGTTACCAGCCCTGATGTCTGGCTGGATTTTTGGCTTATTTCATACACTGTGTAATCACAAGTCATAAATCAAACTGATAAACTGATTCAGCACATACAGCATCCATCTAAAGAATAAATACAGGTTCAGTCCCACAATAAACCTCTCTCCAAGGCCATCCAAAACATTTTGTGTTTCTCATGTCCATGCTCAGATTCAGAGGGATGAAATATATAGAAATTACTTTGGGTAACGAATTCAGTTGTCATTTGTTGTTCAATATCGTATGTACACAGCTTCTTTTTTCAGTTTTTTAGAAGGTCATAAGTTATGAATGATTGTATATAAGAAACAAACAAAACATAAAAAAAGCCTAATGGCTTATACACATTTTCAGTATACAAAGTGAATTATATTTCCGAGACATAGTTTTCACTTGTTACTTTGTAAATTTTATTTCCGAGACATAACTTCCCCTTGTTTCTTTGAATTCCTGATCATGATGCCAATATGGTAACGATGATATGGTTTTGATCTGGAGATCGGTTTCTTATCAAACCAAAGATTGCATGGTAAGTGACATGAGACAATGTGTTCCTAGATTGAAATATGAATTACCTGACTCCTGCAGTCAGCAAAATCCCAGTTTTTGCAATGCCCACTTTCATGTAATCAGAAAACAATGAAATCAGAATATAAATTCCACACATTTAGTTCTTTTTTCAGTCATCATCTACTCGTGAAAGACAGTTTAATTTTACATAATCCTTCATACAATCTAATTGAAACTTTTACTTCAGAACTAAACTTCTCTGAGTGACGTCATGACACATGCTATATTTGCGGTTTCATCAGTCAGGTGAACACTCCAATTAGCCTATCAGTATTGACCCTGTGAAGATCCGGGTTAAAACTGGTCTTCAGTAATCCATGCTTGTCGTAAGAGGCTACTAACGGGTTCGGGCGCTCATGCTCACTGACCTGGTTACATCACTGGATTGTCTGGTCCAGACTCGATTATTTACAGACTGCCACCAAATAGCCGGAATATTGCTGTGTGTAATTTCAGGTATAACCCAGTGAAGCATTCAGAGTGGTCTATATAATTTCCCTCGAAGGGCTGAAAGATCGTCACCATGAAAGATATTTCATACGACTAAAAGATTTGAGTTTAATGAGACTGATCATAATCAAATTTTGCAACCATTTAAACAAAACACTAAAAATAACCAGCATGAAAAATCTCATATTATATCCAGTTTACTTTGGCTACATTAGATTATGAAATAGCATTTTCATCACACTCATAACCTGATTATAATCAAATCTGGCAATTGATTAAACAAAACACTAACAATAACCACCATGAATATCTTACATCCACTTCCCTTTGGCTACTTTTGACAACCAAATATCATATTGCCACTTTTAGCAATATTCCAGCAATATCATGGCGGGGAACACCAGAAATGGGCTTCACACATTGTACCCATGTGGGGAATCAAACCCAGGTCTTCAGCGTGACGAGCAGTGCTTAACCATTAGGCTACCCCTACCCTCAACATATATTATTATAAAGACCATATGTGTTTCCAGCTCTAACACAAAATATTAGTTTTTTTTGCTTACTGAAAATAATCCAGGAAGTCACTCCCACAAGAACTTCTTGTCACCCAGCAGACTAGCCAGTTCCTGATTGCAGGGGGCATAAAACTGATCAAGGATCAACCTGGTACTTTCTAGCATGGGCAGAGCTTTCTTCTTCTTCTTTGTGACACGGGTTCTCCCCAGGTCCTCGATCTCCTCATACAAATCCTCTGAAGGCTGACCTGAAATAGACATTGTAAGCATATGGTGAGTGAGTGAGTTTTGAGGTTCAACATCATGGCCTCAAATTGACCTGCTATCTGCAACCACTGCACAGACCAAGAAATTTCCAGTACTCAAGTTGCCAAACATGACCGCCAATCAACCTACTCTTCACCATGGCTTAATTTCAACTGATTTGTGCCCCTGTGAATGGTTTACAGTTCCGTTCAGTTATAGTATTTGTCAGCTTGATGTGGGAAGACAACAACAAGTAATGCAGGTCTAAGATGTTTACAGGTCTACCGAGCCCTTGGGACTTACTGCTTTACTTGTCTGTGCCACTCTCCATCAAGCTGGTTTCCATGGCAATCACCAATCAGTACTTATTCCCTCCCTGCCCTCCTTCTGTCCATTACTTATCAGTGCTCATTGTAGGAGTGTTGCGCTTATGCCAGATTTTATTTCATAGCAACATTCCAACAAAATGTTGCACAAATACACTTATTGTTTGTGTTCTATGTTAATCTTGTTACTTTTACGAATGATCAGCATTTTCTATAAACAAAAACACCCCTGGAAGTGAGTGAGTGAGTGAGTGGGGAGAGAGGGGAGTGTGAGTGAGTGCGTATGGTTTTACGCTGCTTTTAGCAATATTCCAGCAATATCACGGTTGGGGACACCAGAAATGGGCTTCACACATTACACCCAAGGGGGAAATCAAACCAGGATCTTCAGTGTGACGAGTGAAGGCTTCAACCACTAGGCTACCCCAACACCCGGGAAAGAAGAAATTGTTGAAGTCAGGCTTCAGTATTTTGGATGCCACCTCGATGTAGTGGGTTGGACAATATTTCAGATGAAGCTACCTACTGAGCTGAAGGAAGGAGTAGACCATCTTTATGTGTTCCGTGATGTTCTTTGAGTACTCTTCAGTCTTCAAGATAAGGAAGTGTCGCAGTGGAAATGCTTTCAACCATTCCTTCATATACAGACTGTAACAACCGAAGTGAATTCGTGTCTGAAATAAATTAACACAAATATTTCTTATTTCATTCATTTGTGTTAAAATACATGATATAACACGAGAGATATGCACTGACTGAAACATGGCTGACAACTGCAGATTATCTAGAAGTGTGATAAGCAGGTGGAAAACTGATGATCATACTTGGTATGCACAATGTAGATGTGATTTACAACCAAGAATAGCAGAATACACTCCATGTCTATATACAGGTAATAATTTAGACAACTTTCAAACACTATCTCACATACACTTTCTGGTGCTTCTAGTCCAGATAACTTAGCTAAACCTGTAGAGGTTTCCAATTCTTTGAAGAGAATCGTCCTTGGGGTACATATATGCATTTTCTGCGGCTGAAAATGTCATTTGACAGTTGTATCAATGTTTCAACAAGCATTGTCACTAAGGTGACATAATCCCCAGCCGCAAATTATCAAATCAAACTTATAAAGTAATGAAAGTTTAAGATGAAGTTAAATGTCAACAAAAACATGACTAATCAATCTCTCTTGATATCTGGCTCTTTAGTTGTTCAAACACACACATATTTTCAAGACTGACTTTGGCCTTGACATGAATGTCATAGTGTATGAAATATGCAAAACTAGTACTAAAGAAATTGCTTATTGAAAACATTCAAGAGAAGTCTTAAAAGTCTATGAAGAAAATCCAGTGAACCGTTCTTAAAATATCTTGCTGACAATTCAGGTTAACATGCTGAAATCTTCAAAGTGTCGTCGTGACCCTAAAAATTATGTGAAGGTCACCAAAATTTACTGGGCCCTGGGCCTTCCCTAGATAAAGCTTGGTGTCAAATATGAAGAAAATCCAGAGAATATTTTTTGCGATATCTTGCTGACTATCTTAACATGCAATTTAACATGCTGAAATCTTCAAAGTGTCTCTGTGACCTTGAAAATTAAGTGAAGGTCACCAAAATCGACTGGGCCCTGCGCCTTCCCTGGATGAAGCTTGGTATCAAATATGAAGAAACTCCAGTGAATGGTTCTTGAAGTATCTCGCTGACAAGCATAACATGTAGGTTAATATGCTGAAACCTTCAAAGTGTCGCCATGACCTTGAAGATTAAGTGAAGGTCACCAAAATCGACTGGGCCCTGGGCCTTCCCTAGATGAAGCTTGGTGTCAAATATGAAGAAAATCCAGGAAACATTTTTTGCGATATCTTGCTGACTATCTTAACATGCAATTTAACATGCTGAAATCTTCAAAGTGTCGCCATGACCTTGAAAATTAAGTGAAGGTCACCAAAATCAACTGGGCCCTGCGCCTTACCTTGATAAAGCTTGGTATTGAATATGAAGAAAATCGAGCGAACGGTTCTTGATATAGCTTAACATTCAGGTAAAATGTTAAAGTCCCCTTGTGACCTTGAAATGAAGGTCAAGGTCACCAAACCTGAGTTGGACCTTTCTTATAGTGTGATGAAACTAGGTACCAAATATGAAAAGAATCTAGTGAACGGTTCTTAAGATATTCCAATTCGTGCGTCCGTACGGACGTCCGTTTGCGTCAGAAACGGACCGATGAATTGCAAATTTTATCATTGTACAAAATTGCCACATAAATATAAATAGTACACATGTTTATCATTTACTAATACCCAACAGCTTTCTTATATTTGAAAATTTTCCGGACTCCACCAAAAAAGTTGTTTAAGAAACTATCATCATTGAAAACGCAAAAGTTGTTATCTGTTGCGGCGGAGTGAAACCGCAGAAACGGAACAGCCAGTCATGGCGACGGGACATCTCAAAATCTATTCCGGGAGACCTGTCAGTTCCTCGTCTGTCGTAGTGTCATAGTCACGACTTAAAGGGATGACAAGCGGTGCCACAGTTGCCTGTTGTAAGCCATCCCGAGACCAGTAACTTTGTTCAATGACGTTAGCTACCTTGTTGACATAGTTCAGTCGTGATTTTGTTAAGGGATTCCTTAACCAAAACCTCTACGTCACGTAATCTAAAAGTTGTGTTTGATCTGGCAACATCTCCTTTGACAATACCCCATATCATTTCAATGGGGTTAAGGTCACAGTGATAGGGTGGAAGTCGCAGAATATCGTGACCCTTACTTTTTATGCAACTGTCAACTTTACTTTGTAGAAAGGTTCACCTTTGTGGGGTTTTATGATCTCATACAGCTGAGGCTTCGTTACCTTTGAAGGCCGTGCGATCTGAAATTTGTCGAGCCATGATATCATATCACCTTTTCGACTGTTCGATGTCGGGGCTTTACTGTCAGGGTCCTGCACGCTGTGGTATGGGGCATTGTCCATTACGATAAAAGACTTCTCTGGTAGAGCTGGTACCAACTTGTTTTTAACCCAATCGAGGAAAACTGCACCATTCATCTCGGAATGGTAGTCTCTGTTATCTGTGGACTTTGCCCTGAATACCAAGTCGCAGCCTGGGAGAAAGCCTTTGCTGGAGCAACCAGCATGGAGAATGATTAGTCTCTCTCCTTTCCCTAGAGGCAGCTTTCTACGTGACCCCTTATCACCCCCATCGCGCTTCTTCTTTATAACCCTGAGAAAATTATTTCTCAAGCGAACGATATCAGGGCGTTCACAGAGTACTGACCTATTCTCCCCCGAAATTTTCTTATAAGGATACCCGAAAGAGTGTAAGAGTCGCCAGAGTGTGTACTTTGATACTCTGAGGTTGTGTTCTTGCTTCAAATGCTTTTTAAAATTTTCAGCGACATGTATTTGTTTTCAGAATAAAGCTTGTTGATAGACTGCCTTACAAGGTTCTTTTGAAAGTTGTCCAAAAGTTTTAATTGTGTGATTTTGACACAACCCCTACCTTCTTTGCATCACCCTCACAATGTTTGTGTTCGAGAACATTTGTCAGTACCCTTGCTGATACTCCTAAAGCTTTTGCTGCCCGCTTATGGAATTTATTAATGGCATAAAACGGTTTGCCCCTTTCGGCTTCAGCACAGAAAAAATCGTACACTTTAATCATCAATTGTTTCACGTCAGCATTCAACTTCATTTTTCATCAGGCATGTGTATCCCGTGCACGACGAGATAGTGGCTGTTCCGTTTCTGCGGTTTCACCCCGATGCGACAGATAACAACTTTTGCGTTTTCAATGATGATAGTTTCTTAAACAACTTTTTTGGTGGAGTCCGGAAAATTTTCAAATATAAGAAAGCTGTTGGGTATTAGTAAATGATAAACATGTGTACTATTTATATTTATGTGGCAATTTTGTACAATGATAAAATTTGCAATTCATCGGTCCGTTTCTGACTCAAACGGACTGTAATACTATATCGGACTGTAATACTATACTATAAAAATATTGTACAATAAATAAAAATCTTTTTTATCTATTATACGTCCCCCACCACGTGGAGTTACCTCCCTGCTACACATGCGCAGTCAACCAGGTAAGCACCTAGGCCCATATCATCATTCCTTCTTCTGAATAAATCAGTGAACAGAATCGTGCGGAGGTGGATGGCCCTACCCAAAGGACGATTCTCTTCAAAGAATTGGAAACCTCTACAGATTTAGCTCATTCTTTTTCATAGAGATCGTCCTTGGGGTACATATATGCATTAACTCAAACTCCCAAAGACCGGAGGCTAGGGAGGAGGGAATTCTGTCAAAGTACACATAAATAGCGATCGTTAGGAAGAATGTAACAGACGCCACAACACTCACCTGTCATGTGTCCCGAAGCTTCTGCGAGAGGCATGATGGGAGGGTAACAGACAGGGAGGAAAGTACTGAGACCTGACCTCACAGGTTAAGCAAAGTAATACACACACAGTGCGAAAGTAAAAACCCCGCCCACATCGTGAATCTATTAAAGAGCGCCGTAAGGGGGAAAACCAACTCACAATAATCTCATGAGAGAAATCGAAAGTAGTTAGATATGATAACAGCAGATATATCAATTATACACAATTGAAAGCAGCATCAACTGTCCAGATAACCAAGACTCACTCGGTCAGGGTGGCAGGACACTGTCCACTGGAGAGAACAGAACGGCCAAAACGCGCACAATCACGAGAATGTGTATCGAGCTGATAGTGCCTGATAAAAGTGCTAGGCCTGCTCCAAATAGCAGCAGAGCATATCTCTTCAATGGGCAGTGCCCAAGCAAAAGCCTTTGAAGTGGCCACTGCCCTGACCGAATGAGCCTTCAACCCCTCAGAGGGAGGCTTGCCCTTAGCCTGATAAGCAGCACAAATGACCGATACAAGCCAGCGTGATAGGGTCTGTTTGCTAGCCGGCATGCCAGCCTTCCCGCCACCGTAACAGCAGAACAGATAGGTACCCGTACGGATCCCTTGTGTTCATTTGATATAGACCTTGAGAGTCTTACAGACATCCAACGGGTGAGTGTTCGTTGCAGAGGTCCCCGATGTGGAAGTAGGAAGTAGGAAGTTCCATAGGAGCTGTCATATGGAAAGCGTGATCGATCTTCGGACGGTAAGTATCCGGGAGGCGAATACTGACACGATCTGGATGGAACACAGTCAGCGCCGAGTCTGCCGACATAGCATGTAAGTCGCCAAACCTTCGCCCAGATGTTACCACCACCAGAAATAAGGCCTTCCATGTTAACAGCCAAATGGAAATAGTCGATAGACGTGAGAACGTAGGACCGGACAGCCAATCTAGCACGATTGACAAATCCCAAGGTGGGCTGGTTTGCTTGACAGCAGGTCGAAACCGATCCATGCCAGCTAAAAAGCGCTGCATAAGAGGGTGCTGCCCCAGAAGAGCACCATCAACAGGGGTGTGGAAAGTGGAAATAGCGGTGGAGTAGCCACTAATAGTCGAAGCCGCCAAGCCTTCTCCCAAATGAGCTTGCAGAAACTCCAATACTCGGACTAAATCCGCAGAAAAGGGATCTGATATCCCCCTATCTGAACACCAGCGCGCATAGCGGGGCCACCTATCTTCATATTGAATGTTTGTCGAATCCCGCCTCGAAGCAAGAATTGTGTCTG